AAGCAACCGAGAAAGGAAAATATAAAATAATGAGAGAGGCCATACTGCTGCAGTTTTGTATTCGAGTTATTTCGTAGTATTTACCAAATAACAGGATGATTTACAGAAGAAAACTATTCGATTGCCATGACATGTATATAGAACACATGGGAGATATGGGAAAGTTTTTATATTAATCCCCGTAATTCTTCAACCACAGGCACAAATTTACCTTTCTGATATTTCAGATACTCTCGGCGGTTGAAGTTGTCAAATGTGGTCTTCTAAAATTACGTTCCTCCGAAATGTTGGTAACCACATACAAGACTACACAGTTTAAAACTTGTCTTTACAACACCATATCTTAACAGTATTCCTGTAACGTATTTCCTAGTACGTTTGTTCCAGAATAATGTTCAGTGGTGATTGTTCCATCTTGAATGTAGCCTATCACATTTGGACGAATTTAAGGTTAGCATTTAATTTCACGTCAATAAATCCCACTAAAAACCTAATATACTGGAATAACTGTGTGCATGAGGTTACATGAATCCTGATTTTATAAACATAAAATTTGCTTCATATTAGTTTAATTTTAATACAAGATACAGTATAGAATAACACTATTTTTGATTCACAGCTGTTGGAAAAGAATTTATTACCAAGCGGGTATATATTATTCGTCATTATTACTGATTAATAAACAAAATATCAATCAAATAAATTACAAACTATCGATTTAACCGATAGGGTCTTTTTTGAAAAGTTGTAATCTCTTTCCTGGTCAGAAACACAAATGATCATTATTGTTGCATCTCGCTCGAAAGTGGCTTGTGAATACGTCAGAGATCCTGATGATGGAGACAGCAAGATCTCTTAAACGCTGGTGAACTTCTACCAGCCTACAAGGCTCTAAAAACCAGAAGACAGCCATCTTCGTACTCACCGCCGTGAGGACCCCAAATCCTACTCACAAAACTGAAGTCTGTCTTCAGGATCGGCTTCGGTAATTGTAAAAAATAACCTTGACACTCAGTATTTTTATTTATCTGTTTTCTAAATCCGATATACACCTGACTTTGAAATCTCTCCAGAACATCTGTACTGCTGTAACACTATACCAGAAGTGTCCTCACTCATCGATGTCCACTGTCTAATAGATCCTTGCTTAAACGTGCTCTTCACAGCACCGTAAATCTGAAATTTATCTCGAATTTTTGTAAATTTTATTCGCTTTAGAGGCGTGGTTTCAGATTCAAGTTACCACCGTCTTTGAATTTCTCCAAACCTGAAAATTTATGCGATTCTAGTATGGTATTATTTTGTGCAAATTTGAGACCTCTCAGTTATCGAACAATTTTCAGAAGAACTTGTGTGTACTGATTGACTGATGGTTTGCTGGAAACGTAGTACCACATGATACTTCACAATCAAGCGAAGGTCCACCTCACGTACAACATCAGAAACAATAGAAATTCTACCGGCCGTCACCCCGTAGATTGGATATTGGGATGCGCTCTAGATATTACTCCAAGTCGAGTCCCTTATGACATATCACTCAGTGTCCTCATTCTCCCTCGCAAGGCAAACGATAGAAACTCGTGGATTGGATATTAAACATCTTGCCCTCTGACCCCTCGCGGCCCCACCTGGGAGTTGGAGTTGCGATATTGTACCTGCTTTCCTTTTCTTCTCTTTCGTTTTACGTGATTATATTTGGGAATAACTCCGTTATTGCCCTAACACAAATAGTTTTTTCTTTTATTTGTAAGAAAATACATCAGATAAACCTGAAGCTAGAGCTCGCATCTGTCCGTATGTCTCTCCTGGCTATTGATGTCCTTTCCTCCATGTCTTTAGCTACATTAATGTTTAACTGATGATATAAATGATCTTGGGAATTGCCGTCTTCTGGGTTGTGCTGAAAAATGATCTTTCCATTCTCGTCTGTTCCAATTATTACATTCCATCTCTGTTTACTCTAAAATGCGTTTTGAAGTCTTTATTTCTTTTATAATTTACTAATCGTAATCCAGCTGAGACTGCGTATGTATTTATATAACAGTGCTTGCTGCTGTAATTATTTTAATCTTTAGTTGGTCACGTGTTGAGAATTTTATTTCAGATTTTTTTAAGAAAAAACATAACGACTCTTGTCTGTAACGACAGGAACTATTTACGGACTCGTCGCGAAAATTATGGTGGCAGCAAGGACCTCTGAA